TCTTTAAAAAATAATTCCTTAGCTCATTCTTTACCACGTGCATTCCATAGAATCATAGAATGGCCTAGGCTGGAAGGGACCTTAGAGATCATTTAATCCAACCTCCCTGTCATGGGCAGGGATGCCTCTCAACTAGATCAGGCAACACATGGGGACCAAAGAGGGATCGAACCTGCGACCTTGGTGTTATCAGCACCACGCTCTAACCAAGTGAGCTAACCAGGCCCTTCAAATTTGACACAGCTGTACTGCCGTGGACCTCCTTCTGCAACGTTCAAAGCCTGCAGATGGCCTCTATTTTCTTCAGTCAGTAAGTGTTCTCAGTCCTATTTTCTCGGCTCAGGGTTCATACATCGCCTTTGCCCTTGCTCCTGTTTGTGCTACACCGATACAGCCTGGGGTTTCATTGCCGTAACTTGCTACTTGCCTGGCTCTGCGAGAAGCCTGTTGGAGATTAGTTTCCTTGTAGAATATTAGAATTAATCGTGGGATTGCTTAAAATTAATTGAAACATTTTGTCTTATGAGTGACATCGCTTAGCACGAGTAGCCAGATTTGCTGACACCTTAGGCCCCAGACTGTGGACTTTTACCTAAGTTCTGATGAGCTTTGGCTGAAGAAAGGCCTGGAAACCAGGGCTAATTGAGAAAGATAAGATCAACAAAAACTGCATCCCTGAGATAAGAAAAGAATGCCCACCTGCAGAGAAAGAATCCAGTGAAGAACAAGACCCCAGACCCAAATGTTACTATTGCACTAAACCTTCACATCAAAGGAGGTGAACTTAGATTGTAAGGGTATAATTACCAAGGGATTTCTTTGTTCAGGGACCCTCTCGGATGGTCCCAGCTCAAGCTGAAACAAACTGACTCTGCGGCAGAGCCCAGGGTCCAAACTCTTCTGTACAGTTGGGAGATCCAGCCTCACCCAGACTCCTTGCCATGAGGAAGCTTAGAAAGCGAGGGAGTCTAGCTTGAACCCCGTGACTCGGCAGGAGCGTCTTCCTGGACTTCTCCATACCAGACCCATGGGCCGGCTGGAGCGCATTCAGTGCACAGGTGATAACTCGTCTCTGTCCTTATAATGTCTCATTTGCTGGCTTAGTGCCATGGAGGTTTTTGCTGCTGGAGGTTAGGGTGACCTGGCTGGAGAGGCAGGCAAAGCTGCTGGAGAGGAGCACAAGCACCGTTTCTAAGGCAGGCAGGAGCCTTAGGTTTGTTTTGTGCCTTGAGCTGCTTATGAATATCCATGCAATAGCTGGGCCTGCGTTTGTCACGCTGCAGTTGCTTGGAGTTATTTGAACATTCTCTGTGTTGACGTTCGTGGTGTTTCAGGGTTGATAAAAGCTGTAAACAAAATTCTGGGTAAATTCATGCAGCTGATTTACAGCCTAGCAACGTGAGAAATTACCTCTATACATGCTGCCCTCTGGTCTTTCACATCACATGGGCTGGAGCCACACCTTTACCAGCCTTTCACGTTTGATGTTGGTCCCACTGTGCCTCCGCTGCCCTCTGGATGGGATCAGGTGCTCCTCCTTTCCCCAGGTCTCACAGGGACAGGGCTTGGTGGAGTTCTGCTTCCTCTGGCCATGGTTCCCTCTGCCCCAGGTGCGCGCTTATGTGCTACTTGTATCAGAGCTGAAGCAAAAGTCAAGCAGCCGCAGTGACTAATCCAGAGAGCTGCTCAAGACTCGCCAAAGTCTGTAAAATCAGGTAACTTTACAGTGAAAATGTAGTAGCTGGTCTAGTTCTGCAGAATTGAAGTGTCTGTGTATAGGGAAGGGAATTATACAGTCTGTTGGGGGAAGGAAGTAAGTTCTCACGCATGTGGGATCCAAGAGTAATAACATTTTTGTCCAGTTGCACAGACTCTAGAAAACTGCACTAAAAAGAGGGAGAGGTGGTAAGAAGCAAGAAAAGACATTCTTATGAAAGGGGTCTCACACACAAGTGTGCACACACAAGGGTGCACACAAGTATGTCGTACACGGAGATGTTATTTTCCCTTGGAAAAAGAAATTCATGTACATGAGCCACAAGAGTTTTGGATGATCATTGGACATGTCAATACTAATCTTGGGAAAGGATACAATTACTCCCTTAAAACTAGGAGCGACAGTTAACGAGAGGATCAGCAAAGGACACCAACCACTATGCACATCTGTTAATGGTGTGGGGCCAGGGAAAAAATTCAGACTGTGTCAAATGGAATTGATCTTATCATCATATATGCTACACTGGTTCAGCTCTTGGAACTCCATGACCTGGCATAGCTGTATTTTTTTCTATGCAGTTATACTGATTTATATAGTGTTAGGGTATGTTTAAAAATGTTTTCTAGCTTTGGTATGACTGGAAATTTAATTCAGCAACTGTAACTTATGTCTCGCTTTCAGGTTAGTTGCTACTGCCTCTGGACTTCAGACTAATGAACCATAACCAAGTGGCTATTTACTAGCTGTAGCTCCTGGAATCTGACCAAGCAGAAAAGAGTTTTGAAGAAGTGATATATCAGTAGCAAAAGTCATGAATCAAAGCCAAAGATGGTAAGAGAAGTAGATTTTGGAAAAATCAAGCCACTGAACAAGACTTAGCAGCAAAATGTATTTCATAAGAATATTCTCTGACAACTAATGAGGTACCTGTGCTTCACACAGGTTAGACTCCTGTTTAAGGACCAAGATCTTTAATGGTCTATTGCAGTTACATATTAGTCAAACTCATGAAAGTAACAAAATTAATGAAATTTTATTGGCAAAAATCAAGTTGAATGTGACCTATGTAATTCAACAGAAGCAAGCTTCAGTTTAGTTTATCAAAATACTTCAGTTTTCCAGCTGGATCTGGAATTATCTGTGCAAGAAAGAAAATGAAAATGTTAGTCGAAACCCAAACCAATGCAAACACAACAAACTAGAAAAACAGAACAGCATAGTATTTCATAATATGATGCTAAGGCCAACCCACAAGCAACACTGAAGAGCAATTTATCAGCTGAATTGCTACTAGATTACTATTTATCTCTGAAGGTACCTAACAGTAGTAGCGGATTTAACTGATTGGCGGATGAGAGAGTGCAGCCTACCAAAGGAAGAATTTTGACACGTGGGAGCACACACATCAATGCTGCTTGCCCCAAAAGCAAGATATTTTATTAAATTAATGTCTCTAATCAAGAGGCTTAGAATTTACTTACAGTTCTTCCCTTGGCCACCACACTCTCATGGCTTCCTCTGGCTTTATCTAATTAAATCAAACACATTTAGAAGGCATGGCTACCTCTTTGAGAAAGGCTTTTTGAACTACTCTGCTATTTAAATTATCTGCATCTTTTGCACAGAGAAGAATGAGAATGCTTATGTATTGTTTTAGGTCTTTAAACTGCTAGTACCAGAGTTGTTGATCTCAGCACTGTAAGACTATTTTTTAGAAAAATATGTTAATATTTAGGTTAATATCTATGCCCTCCACAGTTAGGGAAGGCAGAACTTTTCAGTGCCAAAACAGGTCTGTTAGGCCAGCCAGTCATCTTTCATTTTACAGTCTTGATACTCAGCTTCCCCCACTAAAGACACTCCTCTGCTAGTTTGAAAGAGGTGATCCCTAGCCTCTAGTCATCCTGGGAAGTTTCTGCATCCAGCAACGAAACAGTTTAAGATTCCACTGTTCTTACTATTATCTACAATGCTCGCTACTCTGCTTAGAGGCTGCTGGGACCAGCTTTTTGTTGAGATGGCTCTTAAACAACAACGCTCCCATCATCACCAGATGGTTCAGAAGAAAGCCACGTGCTCAAATAAATGACAGTGATCTCATCTGAACTAGGCAGCTCAGACCTCTCATGAAAGTTTCATTATTCTGCTGAGGCTTGATCCAAGCCAGAGAACACAAACAAGTTCAATGGGTGTTTATCTGAACCCTTGCTCTTCTGTCTGTAGTCACATGGAGTAGTAACAAAGGAGGAAGCACAGCCAAGCAGTGCTCTCTGCTGGAGTTCTGAGAGCGGCACACTGGCTCTCTCAGATACTACAGCAGCCTGGGAACCTCTTTTTTTTGGGTAGCACCTCGGATCGACAGAGCCAACGATTTATATGGATAAATAACCGAGAAGATAGGGCAGACTCAAGAGTCTACAGCTTCCTCTCGTTAGGTGTTAACAGGGAAAAAAGTTCTTGATCACAAACTCATTGCTGCTCAAGAGTTTTGTTCATATACAGGGAATCTGAAACAACTGGAGTATGTCTGATGTGAGGAAAATGAGTTCCTAGTGAATTCAGTAGTAATCCAAAAGCTGTAATATAATAATTTGAGTTTACTCATATTATCCCATTGAAAGTTCCACATACTTTGGATGTGGCTTTAGTAGAAATTATAACTGAGTGTTTTTTAGTAGTATATGCATTTAAATATAAACAGTGACTTACTGTTTCACTGCCAGGTTTCCAACCAGCGGGACAAACTGGAAGAAAAACAAAGGACAAAATTAGTTGAAGTACTTTTACACACACTTATTTTTGCGTACTTAATATTCTCTTTCTGAACTTCAAGTAAAACACCACCAAGTGTCACATACAAATATATCTGCAACTATTAAACATGCAGTCTTCTTTATATATGGGATGGTGTCACAACATTTGATACCTGATACCACCTACCACTTCTGTTACCTGAAAACTACGTAGCTCTAGGTGAATATCTATGCCTTGGTTTAACTCTCATGCCCTTCTAGACAAAGTACTGGCAAAAGAGTATCTGAGAATGAACACGTAGTACGAACACAAGTTGCAGTATAAAGACCTATCTTTCTTTCTTCAGAACCAATGCTAGGGGAACTTTTTTAAGCTAAGAGATCAGCTCAAAGATTCCACAAGAGATTGAGTGATTTTATGTGAAGTTTTGCTAGGGAGTAAAAGTATTTTAGCACATGGTTAACACGCAGTTGTGGCCGAGAGCCCTGTGACTACCTGTACAGTTCCATATCCTGGGGTGAAGCTCTCATCTGTTCAGAGCTCGCCCTTTGAGGCTTTAGCCCAGTGAGTTACGCCAAGTTACGCTGCTCTAAGGCATGCTGTCAGACAAAACACCACAAACATGATCAGGGATTGTGGAGAACTTTTCCTGTTCTGTGCAAAGAATCCAATAAGGTGTCTAGGGAGGCCCTCCTGAGCCTTCATGCAGAAGCCAGAAAAAAAAAAAAGTGGTACTCTGTGAACAAATTGCAAAACAATATTCTGTTAAGACAGTTTTGTAACTAAATGAGGCTAAATTTCCTTAGTCAAATGTGCAAAGCCTAAGTATCAGCATTTGTCTCTTTTAAATCTGTACAGGAAAATATAACAATGATTTGCACCTTCAGGTAAAGGTACTTTCAAACGCCAAGTGAAAGTGAGTTAAGCTGCTGAATGCATGCATTAGTATTTAAATAAATCTTCAAATCATAGAATGGCCTAGGTTGGAAGAGATCATCTAATCCAACCTCCCTGCCATAGGCAGGGACACCTCTCAACTAGACCAGGTTACTCAAGGCCTCACCCAACCTGGCCTGCAGGGAGAGGGCTTCCACAACTTCTCCAGACAATCTACTCCAGAGTCCTGCCACCCTCGCATGGAAGAATTTTTTCCTAAGGTCCAATCTAAATCTATTCTCCTTCAACTTAAACCCATTTCCCCTTGTCCTTTCAGTGGACACTCTTGTAAAAAGTCCCTCCCCAGCCTTCCTGTAGGTTCCCTTCAGGTATTGGAAGGCAGCTATTAGGTCCCCCCAAAGTCTTCTCTTTTCCAGACTGAACAATCCCAGCTCCCACAGCCTGTCCTCATAGCAGAGATGCTCCAGCCCCTGGATCATCCTTGTGTCCCTCCTCTGAACACGCTCCAACAGATCCACGTCCCTCTTACGGTGGGGACACCAGCACTGGATGCAGTATTTGAGGTGGGGTCTCACAAGAGCAGAGTAGTTTGTTTAAACATTTAAAGTTTGTTTAAACCCATTTAAAGCAATGTGCTTGAACTGGGGGAATATGAATTCTTGAGACAAAGTAATATCCTCAATGAATGACACAGGACAAGAAGGACCTGCATCTCAGTTATTGTAGTATGCCAAAACACACTGAAATATTGTGCCTGATTCTTCATAGCCTTGTGTTTTGTACAGTTTTATGCTTGTGACAGATGCCATATGATGCCTTCATTCAGACTAAGTAACATTTTCCACTCTGCATTTTCATGCACGTGAAGCAAAACGTGAATTACTAATCTAGAAACAGCCTGTGGAGGTACTGGGAACACAGAATCATGTAGCAGGGCAACCAAATCCCTTCATTTGCTGCATGAGGCGAGTCTCTAATGCTAATGCCACTGAGCACTTGCCTTCCAAAAAGCTACAAATACAGCTTGCAGTCTACGTAAAGCCATCTTCAACAAAAGTATTTAAAAGAGCACCTTCTCCGTGCTTGTCGGTGTACTGGAATGCTTGCACTAAACGAAGTGTTTCATCCACGGATCTCCCAACAGGAAGGTCATTCATCGTGATCTGTCGAAGGATCCTCTTATCGTCAACAATGAAAAGGCCTCTGTGAAAACAATTTTTTCAGTGTGTGTTACAAAACACAACTAACAACAGTTTTGAGAGCACACACAAATTTATGTCTCTTGGATGGGAGGAATGTGATCTCTGCAAACACTATTCAACACCCACCACCATCAAACACTAACAATCTACCATTCTTTACCTGGGGTATGAGATGACATGAATTGAAGGCCAGTTAAAAACAAAAAGGCTGTTTCTCTGCAGAACATAAATCCAAGCTTTGACAGGCTCTGCCAGGGGATGCTGCGGGTGCTGTGATGTTATAGGGATCCCCAAAAGCAACTAACCAAGTTTATGAAAGATGAGTTTCTCGCAGCCATTAGTCACTTGACTCCACTTGGACTTGGGAGGTCCCTGAGTAACTGCAGTTCTGGGGAATCTGGCATGTTTTCCCTGCCCTAAGCATCTCCTGATTGCTGTTAAACAGTGCATTAACGTTGACCCCTGCTCTGATTCATTATGACTATTTTTTGTGTCTTCAGTATTTATTTGTCTCTTGGCATGAATCCACAAATAAAATCTGCTCTTAAAGAAAAATTTCAAATGCATCTTTAGATATCAAGCAGTAAGTACTACTTGTGCTAAGCGAGGGGGAAAAAAAAAGAACAAAAAAGAACTACAACCAAGTGAAATACCTAAGTGTATGCCCTTGATCTTCCAGATATACTCCATAATCCTTTGAAATTTGGTGTGTCAAATCTGAAAGAAGCGGAATCTTCATAGGTCCAAGTCCTCCTTGTTTTCGAGGAGTATTAATCCTTTGAAAGAAACGAACATAAGTATTTCTCATAGAGATTTATATTCCCTACATGAAGTTAAAAGCCAGAAAGCAGAACAGTACAGACCAAAGGACTTAGTGCAAGCAACGTTTTCTTTGCACACAATGGAGATGAATACTATTTATGGTTCGAGCAAAATGTTCAGTAGATCTTTTGCAGTTTATGGCCACATCCATCAGTGACGACCTCCTTCTTCGAAGTCTTATTTGCTTTACACTAATGTGCTCATGAATTGGGACAGTGTGGCACATTTACAGATACTTGCATCCTTGTATCTTTTTTCTTTGTGTATATGTAGTATTTTTTGGACTGAGACATGATATATTTACAGAAATACAAATTAAACAAGCTTCAGAGATAAAGGTACTTTCAAGCGCTAGGGTTACCGCTGGGAAGTATTTTAGGCATTTGTCTCAACATCATCACAGTTTTACAATATAGCTACATAGGCTAAAAATTCAGGGATCTTGTTCTTCGCCCAAGATGGACCCATGAACAGTTTCTAGTGAAAGACAGGGCAGGATACATACCACGCTAAGTGAGTGAACTTGGAGTCCACGGAACATGCTACCACTTCAGTATTTATTGCTCTGAACTCTTCGATTCTGTCACTGAAGGCGATTATCTCAGTTGGACAGACAAATGTACTAGATAATTTAAAACAAGATAAAATCAGAATTTCATGAAACATCCAGGAAGTTCTCTGTTCAACTTCAAACAGTGGATAAATTGTTTCAGCTTTTACTTATTTTTTATTGCTTCATCAAGCAATTCACCGAAATTCTGCCTGACAAATCTTCCAGCCTCGGACTCTAGCTTAGACACAAATGTTTTATTACTGAAGAAAATTATAAACCTACAGTTAGTTTACAATCTGGATTCAAGTGTTTTTACAGTTACTTTCTGTTAGACTTTATGAATATTAAGTGCCTGAATTTAAGCACAATAAGCCAAATTTCTTCAAAGTAACCTACTGTAATTTGTAGTTACCATGCATGTTTGCAAGTTTTACCTATTTTGACTTGAATGTTTTTCCACTAAAGAAGAAATAAAATGTAAAGATTGTAATTTCTAGGGCCTTGAAGCCAAGGGCCAGGAGCCACATTCTCTCCTCTATAATATTACGGTAGTTAATGCACCTTTGTCCTCATTTTTCCATTTTGTAGAAAAGAATGGGATCGTCTTGTATAAAGCAGAGATGTTTTCACTTAAACCACTGAAGTTACTGCATTCTAAACAAGGGAGGGTAACGTTAAGTATTCTTAGGATGTTACAGGATGAGCTTTAAGGGAAAATGCCATCTCTTAGATACACTACATGCCCTCTAGAAAATAAAGATGGGGCACTGTTGTCTACTTGCAGCAGTGATTTACAGCATCATATAGAATGTAAATGTTGCCTGACTGGGTATGACAGACTGCAAGTTATTTTTTTTTGTGTTGAGACACAAATTAGTGGACACACTTATTAAGACACAGATTGTGTTACAATTTTACTAATGCATGATGAAAACACAAATGCAAAGAACTTATATATTTTCTTCCGTCACTCTTTTCTTATCCCCTAAATCTTTAGCAAACAAAAACCCCAAGATTTGAAAACCAAGAAAGGTTAATGAATTACAGGTCTAGTGCAGAACGCTATGTCTACAGTGGTCTTACTTACAAGTCAAGAGGATAGAAGAAGAAGACAAGATATTTTCCTTCATAATCTGTTAATTTCAGCTCTTTAAACTCTCCATTAATGACTGCTGTTCCTTCCCAGTAAGGTGCTGGCTTGGAGACTGAAATACAAAGGACGTTCAGTTGAAAGTCAGAATACAAAGCACATGTTCAAACACAGCTGTTCATCAGCTAGCTGGTGTGCAAGGACAAATGTTCCTCCTTTTGGCCTGAAAAACAACCTACTGCACACAGTTACAAAATGAACTTCCCTACCACTTTAAACACAGGTTACAGAATGATGAAGAAATGTAGGTTTCAGCACGCAGGGAAAGTAAAGAATTTGACCAACTTGTGCTTGTACACCAAGTCCTGTGGATTACTGATAATCAAAGTCACACAAACCTTATCTGGCCATACTGAACAAACCACGTGTGCACTGCCAGCTCATGGGAGAACACCTGTAAGACTGAAAGGGAAGCTGTTTAAGATTTCAGGAACTCTCGCTATTTTGTTATAAACAGCTGTCCTGAAGCAGATGCATAAGATAGTTGGAATTCATATAGTTACTTTTTAGCCATGAAAAGCTACCTGGAATTTCAGTCCACAAAAAATACATGCTACAACATATTTAGAGACAAATGCCTAAAAGTGCAGTGTATATTTATAAAATTACAACACCTAAGCAAATGGTAATGTGAAGACAGTTGCATTAAAAAAAAATTCAATTAGAATTAATGAAATGTATTTGCTATTCCTATCAAAAGGGACTAACCTTGAATTAAAAATAATAAAAAATTATTCTGCCAGGTACTTTTTCACAGTAATGTGAATTCCAAGACAAAGGTCTGAGACAAGGCTTCTGCTGGAGATACACTTGTGATATGAATACACTTGTGATGGCAAGGACACTGACATACAGCTAGAGTAAATTAGGGAAATGCAGCTGAGAAAAATACATGGAATCTTAATTATTATCTAGATGATGACTGTGTTGTTGGGCTCTCCTTTTCTCAGGACAACAAAGAGCGGTGGAATATAGCTAGTGACAATGTACAACGCGGACTGCAAAATGATCAGACAGATCATGCTCCTGAGCGGGAAGGCATCATCTTTAGTTTCACTTGATATAATCCACAAGGGATGCAGTGATACAAGTACAGAGAGTCAGCAGGTATGACTGGTAACTTCAGTTTATGTCTTTTTGAAGAAATGCTCTTCCTCCTTTCAAGTGTTCTGCAGAATTCTTTCTAATCAGATTTCAAGCTCTGGACTTCTAACATTTTTTACTGTGTTTGCAGATATGAGCCTATTTTCAAGTGAAAGCAAGGATTAATCTCCAAATTATTTGGAGCGCTCAAAAAATGTTTCAAATATATTGCTCTTTACAAAATAGTGACACCCCAAATCTAATCTCTTTGTAGCAAAATGTTCTCTTCAACTGACCTTCAGATTAGGAAAGAGAAGGACAAGAAATTAAAATAAATATATTCTATCTTGACCCTTTTCTAAATTAAGATGTTTTTTGTTTGTTTAAAAACACTTGTCTGAAATGCTGTAATAACTTACAAAGTGAGGAAAATGCAAATAGTATTCGTTACAAATATCTTGGCTGGTTTTCTATTTTTTTCACAGAATCTGTGAAGGGCTTAAAGCTGTAAATTCCCACAGTGAAGACTGTTTCTAAGCAACTTCTCTGTTGTGTAGGACAGGACTTTTGGAGAGTATCTCACCACTTGGAACAGGTGAACAGGTGCCCCTCAACACCTCTGGGCAACACAATTAAAAATGTTTGCACCAAGGTCTGTCATAAAATATTTAAATCACAAAGGAGTGCGGGCACAAAAGCGAGTCACAAACAAAGCCCCAGTAATAATGGGTAAGCCTTACGAGAGGTGACCACTCAGCATTTAAAATCGCAGTGTGAGCACAAAACACTTGTGTACACTGGTTGAGGGACGTGATTCTCCCTCTCTACTCCACTCTTGTGAGACCCCATCTGGAGTACTGCGTCCAGTTCTGGAGCCCACGGCACAAGATTTGGATGTGCTGGAATGTGCCCAGAGAAGGGCCACGAGGATGCTCAGAGGGCTGGAGAACCTCTCCTGTGAAGACAGACTGAGAGAGTTGGGGTTGGTCAGTCTGCAGAAAAGAAGGCTCCGAGGAGACCTTATTGTGGCCTTCCAGTATCTCAAGGGGCCTACAAGAAAGCTGGTGAGGGGCTTTTTAGGATGTCGGGTAGTGATAGGACTCGGGAGAATGGATTAAAGCTAGAGATGGATCGGTTCAGATTGGACGTTAGGAAGAAGTTCTTCCCCATGAGGGTGGTGAGACACTGGCACAGGTTGCCCAGAGAGGTGGTGGATGCCCCATCCCTGTAAGTTTTTAAGGCCAGGCTGGATGGGGCTCTGAGCAGCCTGCCTGATCTAGTGGGGGATGTCCCTGTCCATGGCAGGGGGTTGGAACTAGATGATCTTTAAGGTCCCTTCCAACCCTGACAGTTCTATGATTGTTTGTTTCCCTTACTCTCTTTTGCTGGAACCACAGGCCTTGCTAAACGTTCATGAAACATTAAATTCATTGCCAATCTACCACCATAAGAATGTAGGTCCTAGAATCACACAATGGTTTGGGTTGTAAGGGACCTTAAAGGTCATT